TCCAGAGACCACAGTGGGGTGAGCCTTGCTTGGGGACAGGCTCTGTTCCCACTCCTGGCCCTTTGCACTCTGCCTCCAGGTGCCCCTCGTGGGCATCAGTCGCTGGGAGGTGGGACAGCTTCCGATGGGACAAAATGATATTTCATAAATGTCCCTTCCTCAGGAAGGCCCCTCATGGCACTGGGAAGCTGCCATAGTCCTCTTCCAAGCAGTGTCTCGTGGCCATGGTGTCAAGTCTGAGGTCCTAGCACCTCTCCTTGTGGGCCCAATTGCAGTCCGCGCTGCCTTGGGGTCCCTGCTAGCATGATCCCAGCACGGCACAGGCTGCCTCATGGTCATCAGAAGGAGCACTGTGGTGCTCATCTGGACAGATACGTTTCCATGAGCAGCAAAATCCCCTTTTCTTTGCTGGAGAAGAGGCCTCCATTTTGCACTGGGGTATTGCCTGGGAACAGGGTGGGTCTCACTGCAAGCTGCTAAATTGCAGGAAACCCTCCCTTCCCTTTTCTGCCAATGCCCATAGACTCTGAGGGTCCTGGGGTCCACTGGTGCTCAGGAGGGTCCTGAGGCCAGCTGGGTCAGAGATGGTACCCCATCTGTGGCTTGCTGTATGCCTGGCTGGAGAGAGACTCATGTATCACTGGGCAGGGCAGCACCACACTGGGCACACTCCAGAGAGATGCACATGGGGAAAATTTTGTCCAGGACCTGTCATTTCCTGGGACTTTGCACAGAGCAGCTCACCTTTGCCTTGGAGAGTTTATAGTCCAGCGACAGCCAAGCATTGCATCTGTGTGTGCAAGTCATGTGAGCATCAGCATGGTGACAGGATGCGAATGTGCCCTGGGATGTGCACCGGGGCGTGTGTGGGGCAGAGATGTTGGAGAAGAGGTGTGTGCATACACCTTGCATCGGGCAGTGCCAGGCGTGTGTTGTTAGGGGGGTCTGCACTGTGTGGAAGGCAGTGCGATCAGGGTGCATGGGGCTGTGGCTGTGAGCACAGGGCTGTGGGATGAGTAGGGAGAGGACACGGGGGGCCCCTTTTCAGAGAGGGGACACTGGTCATGAAGGCTGGGTGCTGGATGCCAGAGCTATGGGAGCCTGCTGGCTCCAGCTTTTGTGGCTGAAGCTGCTTTTTCTAGCAGCATGCGCAATGGCTTTCTGCGACTCAGGAGTGAGGATCCCACCCAGGCACCTCATGCAGAGCACCATGGTGTAAGCATGCAGGATCAGCGCCTCCACAGCCCCATCAGGCCTGCAAGCTGAGTCCACATGTCTCATGGGCAAGGCGAGCAGAGCAGATCTGGGGCCCCAGGCCTTCTGCAGGGTCACTCAGGCTGTGACCATGTGTAGTGGCTGTCACAGCGCTTGGTGCCTGTCAGTCAGCCAGTGCAAACCAATCCCCAAATGAGGAACCACCTCGCGTCCTCAGCAAGTGCCAGAGAGCAGCGTGGGCCAGATGGAGAAGTCCTGATGGCAGAGGCGAGGGAACAGCCCGGCCTGGTGTCTGAGTGCTGCTGGCACTGTCCAGGTAGGACACGCTCTGGGCTCTGGGGCTCTTGGGGCCAGGCAGGCCAACCACGGGACAGCATCGCCCCTTAGCACTGTAGGGATCTCCCAGAGCTCCAGGGCAACGCCAGAGGGTCCTAGGTTTGGGAATGGGCTCTGTAGCCCAGTTCCCTCTGGAGAGTGGCCCCAGGTTTGCATTAGATGTCATAGACCTGGCGTGCCAACAGCACAGGCTCTTCTCACCTGGAGTACCAGTCCACCCCGGCCATGCTGTGCAGCTTGGGAGTGGGTTGGGGTGATGTGACAGCAGAGAAGAGTGTGGGCAGGAGCTCTAGCATGAGGAAAGGGCAGGAGAAAGGGAGGAGAGGGTGCCCAGGCGCTCCCAGCCGCTGCTCTGGGCAGCACCCACTATCCATCCTTGCAGCATAGTCAGAAGCACAAGAGGAATCGAATCTGCAGAGCTGGGCACCAGAAACGCCTATAAATACACGCAGAGCTTCAGTGCTGGTGGCTCGGTCTCAGGCCTGGGGACAGCCTGGCATGGGCACAGTAAAGGACAAGGACATGCTAGGTGAGTTGAGTGTTCTGCCCTGGGGAGGGCTGAGACCCTGCTTCGCAGTGCTGCACCCCACGCTGAGTGCCGGCCCATGGAGAGGGGCAGGGGATAGCTCTGTCCTGCTCCTGGCCATTCCCTGTGTCCCCAGCCCTGGTCCAGGTGACACCATGAGCAGACAGGGCTCAGCTCCAAGGAGGAGGATGTGCTGTGGCCACTGGGAAGGGCAGTGGGGCTGGCAAGGCTCCAGGTGTCTTGGAGAACATTTCCAGTACGGCAGCGCAGGGCTGGTGCAGGCAACAGCCAATTGCCTGTCCTAGCACAGCCCCTAGCCTAGAGCTAGGAAGAAGCAGGGTGCCTGCTGCTTCTCACCAGGGCTCTACCTATGCCTGTAAGCCAACATGGCATGGAGCCAAGCACCTTGCCCTGGCTGGGGCTGCTCAGCAGCGACACTACCCCGTGTCATACTGGTGTTTTCTTAGGCCAGCTGTGTACTGTGTTGCATGGCAGCACCAGGCTGCTCTCACCTCCATTGCATCTTCTGCTGTTGGCACATTTGTCCCTCTGGTGTAGATTCAGAAGGGTCTTGGGCCCAGAAGTTTTGCATCTCCCAGTGAGGGCACTCCTGGGCATTGGAGCCTGTGTGCCAGAGGTTCATGGGAGAGCAGAGTCCTTGCAGCCTTGCCAGTGCCCAGAACATGGCTGGGGAAGCAAAGCCAGCCTGGGAACTGCCTTTGCTGCAGGTGGGCACACAGAGCAGCAAGCTGCCTGAAGGCAGAGATGCTCGTGCCAGGCCATATGGGCTGGCATAGTGATGGAGGGACAGCCCTGGTGCTCCCCGCCAGCGTTACAAGTGCTCCTGTACCAGGGTGACTGCTCAGAAAGAGAGCTCCTGCCAGGGGCTATCAGGCACGTTGCCATGCCTTGTGCGCAGCCTAAAAACCCAGCTAGTGTTCCTGTTCCATCATGCAGGGAAATACCCCCCAGACACACCTGGCCAGCCCCATCCTCTCTCCACAGTCATCCCCACATGTCCTCAACAGGGGATTCATCTCAAGGGGCCCTGAGGGCAGTTTGTGGCACGGTGCTATGGGGAGAGGCTCCCCCCAAAGGCGGCCTGTCCCCAGGGCTAGCATGGACAGCAGCAGCCCCAGCACTGTGCCGAAATGTGTGGGTGGGCATCCAATGCACTTGGGGGAGCTTGTTTCACCAGGAAGGCAGCTGGCCGAAATGTCAGGCCAGCACTTTCTGCTGTGGTGTCTGAGCCTGCGGAAAGAGCAGGGTTGTGGAAAGGGGACCGGAAGGGAGAGGGAGTCGCGGCAGGGTCACGGGGCTCGGCTTCGGGAAGGCCATGGGATGTGGTTAGCCACAGGCTGCACGCAAGGCAGCGCAGGGTAGGGGAGGCACAGCCGGCAGGGTAAGCGAATGCTGCAGCCTAGCGCTGGCCCCAGTGGGACTGTCCCCCAGGGCTCAGGGCCAATGTGACCTGGTCCTCTGAGTTTCCCCAGCCACAGCCTCGAGGCTGGCCCCACAGCTGCCCTGCAGCCTGGGTGGACCGATCCCTGTGAAAGCTCAGTGGCTGGTTCCAGAGGGAGCCAGACGGCCATGACCACCACTGCGAGCAACCTCATCCAGCAGAGCACGCGGCCCTGGGTTGGGTGGGAGCGGGTTGGGGATGGGGTCTCCACCCGCCCGGGTGGTGTCCCTGGGCGCAGGGCGGGTTTTCCTGTCCCTCTGCATGTGGCAAGGCTGGCCCCAGGCATGTGGACTGCCTCTTCCCTCTCGGCATGTGAAACTCCAGCATTTCACAACACAGCCACCAAATCTGCCCACGGAGCTGGGAACTGCCCCAGACCTGCAAGGTGAGCATAGGATTGACAAAGCTCCGCCAGCACTGGACCCTGGGTGTGACTCCCCTTTGGCCTGCCCTGGGGTTTGTCACCTGCATCTCCATGAATGGCTCAAGGTGCAGGTCAAGGACATCAGCAGGGTTGAAGCAGCCCTTGCACCCACAACCCTTCCTACTGGCTGCCTGTAGTGGAGGCAGGAGCTGTGTAGATGAGCAGGCAATGCCTGGTGGCACATTCCCTCCGGCAGTACGGCACTGGGACCACTGTGTAACCTTGAGGACAACAGGCACGCTGGTCCCGGCGAAGGGGCTCTGAGCCCAGCTGCCGTACTGGCTCTATGGCTCTTGCCAGAACAGGGGACTTAAACA